AAGATGGGGGATGTACCTCTAAGCCGGATAGTGTTGGGAGAAGATAGGGGATGAACTCCGTAGATACAGCTTATATGCTTGAAGAGCAATTGAAGCATTTCATTAGTATGAAAAACTTACAATGATCCAAACTCAGCCTCGTAGAGGTTTACAGCGACAATCTACTTGAAACTACTCCTATGAATGAAGTGCAGTGCAGGAATAAAATACAGGAATGTAAAGAACAGGAAATATAAAAATTGGAATGAAATATGTAAAGTAAGACTGGTTTCTTGGATCTGAGTCCGGGGGCATTTTCTAGGGTCTTCCCTGTTATTTATACTCCTCAAAGATGACCATCTAATTTCACTTCAAACCGTCGAACTGCTCCTCCGTGGTCGCTGATCATGCTACCTTATAAGTAGTTCCACTACGCCATCACTTGCAGCTAGGCTTCCCTCCTATATTTGAATTTGAATGTGAGTAACTGTTGAAGCCACGTCACCTTGCATCTCTTTGTTGATCCACTGCTACTCAGATCTCATAACAACCAATATTAACTGCCACGTGTACGATCAGGATCGAAGACTTGAATGGTCTCCCCATATTACCCTTACTTTGCCACATGTTGAGTTGTAATTGGCTTGCACAAAATACGTAGCCAACAACTACATGATTAGTAAGTCAAATTCTCTACTGATCAATTTAAAAATGATATATTTGAGTAGTTTCAATTTTAAAATATTTACTCAAAATATCTTTTTAACTTTGATAAACTAACTTAATCGTTCATTCATTTGTCCAGATCATAAATGAATAAATAGAGATTTAATTAAACATTATAAATTTAATGTAAATTGGGTTTTAATTTATTTTGTTCTAATAATAACTTGAGATATTAAACTTTATAAAATAATAAGGGGAAACACTATAGAGCACATTCTTTAAAAGGTGTGCATCATATGCATCTTATAACACTACAAAAAATCGCACCTTTGGCGATCATTTTTGGCGACTACACAAATTTTAGTTCTATATTTATTTCCTATATTTATTAATCGGATGACTCTAAAATATGTAACAAACAATTCATATCTTAAATGAAAAAAAATTATAACATATAATCATATATATTAATAGAATGAATCTAAAATATGTAACAAAAAATACATATCTTAAATGAAGAAAAAAATCATATTAGTCTAACTTGTTAATTTGGTGTAAGGTTTAAGTTATATTGAAAATTCTCACCTAGCCCTAACTATTTTAGGAAACTGAAAAATAAGAATTTAATTCAACTAATCTAAGCTCACAATCTAATCATAGTAAATTATGAATGCTTATTAGTTCTATATTTAAAAAGGGTCTAGCTTCCTTCCAGTCTGTGATCGGACTGCAGGGTGTTGTTGGGTCTGTCAGGGCTCACCACGGGTCCCGTTTTGATAATCCGAACCGTTCAATATGTAGAACTCGTCGAGTACTATATATCTGTTAAAAAATCACGTTGATCGGATATCGATAGCTATCTCATCGGATTAGATTTATGTCAACCATTTTTTTTTACCGTCCAATTTTTTATATACTAAACTGATTTGATCACATAACTGTCGATATCCGATCAAAGTGAGTTTTTACAAGTTTATAGTACTCGACAAATTCTATACATTAATGATTTGGATTATCAAAACGAGACTCGTGGTAGGCCCCCACGGGCTCATCAACACCCTCCAGTTTGATCACAGACTGGAGAGAAGCCAGACCCATTTAAAAATACAATAAAAGTACTATTTAATTAATAATTTTTTGTAATTGTTTAAGTTTCATTTTGTATTATAAGTGTAATATTTTTTTCTTTTGTTGTAATCTAGATTTGTTAAATCATAAAGCAGTAAGACTATTTTTAATTTTTTTGTTGTTGTTGTAATGATTCTTCATATTCTGAAATATATAAATAAATCTTAGTAGTGTTAGTTATAACTCATTAATATGATGTTTGTTATGACTTGGTTATACACATTGTCATATTGATTATGATATTGTTTTGGCTATGACTCAAAATGTGTTTAGTTATGAATTTTTTTTTTTTTTTAGTTATGACTGAAAAATAATGTCATAACTTGCATATAGTTTGCACTTTTGAGAGTGTCTATAATAGTATGACTTGCACCTTCTAAAATGACATATGATATGCAACTATTGTGTGATCCATATTGTGTCGTATCATAAAAAGTGACTTGTTAAATTGGTCATCCAACAGGTTACATGAAAGAATCATAAATTTTTCTAAATATCATAACAATTACAATGAATCATAACAATATCATAATATATACAACGGTGTCATAACTGACACTATCAATCATAACAATACGACAATGACTCATAACAAATATAATTATTTCTAACAAATTATCATAATATTTTTTTTATTATGATTCACCATAACAAATCATAACTTTTACTAATGAATCATAACCATAGCACATTGATTGTAACTTTTTCTCCAAAATCATAACAATATTCACAAAATATCACGACTCTTAAAATTTCAAACACAATTGATTGTGTAATCAATCGTATAACATATAACACAAATATCATGACACTGTCCTAACTTTTGCCATTATAGCACAAGCAATCGTATATTCAATTGGCATGAAAGCGTGAATACAAAATCATAATTGATTGCAAAATCGATTGGGCTGAAAGACCACAATTGATCATACAATTGATTAGTAGCCATTGTAAATAAAAGGTGGATTGAACAATCACAATTGAATGTATAATCGATTGGTATGGGTTTATATTATTGTTATTTAATCGATTGTACCATCCATTTGAATTAGAGAGATTCAATGATCACAAGTAATTATACAATTGATTGTGAGTTTTTGGAGAGAGAGTCTTTAGTAAAGAAAATTATAACCGGTTGTGAAGGTACTCAATTTTTCTAATTAAATTATTTAATGGTTCAAATTAACTTCTTGATATCTATTGGTTAAAAAGTAAGGTGCACATTATGTGCACATGTTGATGATGTACACACCCTAACAGTTCCCATGAATTTATAGCAAATAATATCAATCAATATGTATGACAAAGATCAATCTAAACAGTTCTGAAGATTAATCTAACAACACTAATGATTTGCTAAACAAAAGTTAACACCTACAATTCACGAAATAGAGACTTGAACTAACTGTTCAATGGGACTTCAGGAATTATACGAAAATATATGAGAATTATAATTGTACGAAGGATTTTCTATTGAAAAGCCCTACTTATAAAATTTGAATTTGATAAAGCTTTTTACAGTGTTCTTATTATGAATTAAGGCTAATCCATAGAGATTTGAAAAACATTGATAAAAAAAACTATAAGTTAAGGCACTTTTAATTTTTAAGGTAAATCAACTTTGTGCCCCTAAAGTATTACCAATTCATTTTTTGGCCCTAAACTTTACTTCCCAATTTACTCCTTACACCAGTGAAGTTTTTTGGTGTGGTGTCTTTGGAAGATTCTACTTTTAATACAAATTAAAATTAAAAATTATTGATAACGAAAATGTATGTTACATAATTTTGAATTAAAGAAAAATAGTAAATTTAATATAATATAGGGCAAATTACGACGATAATCTCTGTATTTTACTCCTTGTGTCATTTTAGTTTATGTATTTTCAATTGGTTCAATTTTGATTCTGAATTTATGATTTTGTTTCAATTAATTATTATTCTTAGCATTTTTTTTTATGGAAAACACATACATAAGTGTCATGTGCCATATTTTTTAGGGCAAAATTATAAACTTAACTCAATTAGTTAATCTCAACCAATTTAGTAATAATTTTTCTTGAAAAACACCAACTATATTATTAATTGGACCAAATTGAAATAAAATTTAAAATTTAAAATTAAGGATCAAATTGAGCTAATTGAAAGTGTAGGGATCAAAATGAGACAAGGAATAAAATATAGGGACCACTGGCGTAATTTGCCTTATAATATATTTTCAAAAAGAATTCTATTGTACACACCCCATACTATATGCACCTTTAGTTACGCAATTTTCTTCTTTAGTTATGACATTATTTTGAGATTTTGGTTATGAGTTTTTTTTTTATATTTTAAATTTTGACTTAGAAAGTATAAAATTATGTCATTTTCTTCTATAGTAATAAAGTGCATATGTTACACACCCCTCAAAGAGTGTGTATTGTAGTATTTTCCTATTTTCAAAGTTAACATAAATTAGAAGAGACGTGTGAAATAAGTTTATAGTCAAATTTATAGATATACACATATAGATATAAGAAATAAATAATAAGAAAAAAATTTGGTAAGAATGAGATTGTAGTAAAAGCAGATCATAGTGCTAATAGAATCGGAATTATAATGTGATTCTATA